AAGTAAGTGAAGCACCTCAAGTAAGTGAAGCACCTCAAGCAACGAAAGCACCTCAAGGAAGGCAAGCATCCCAAGTAATTAAAGCACAACAAACATACCAAGCAACAAAAGAACAAGTTTTAAAACAAGGAAATCAAGGCAAGGGCACTAGGACACCGAATGTGGTTGGATTTCTATAGGTTTTTTTCCTTTCGATTATTTGAATTAAATTAAACATACATGTATATACTTGTTTACTGATCTTGCGTCCGTGTTCCTTCGGTGTTATAATGCAGACGTTTTCATTCCAAAGGTCAAACAGTTTGAATAGCCGATGAGCGTTACTTCTTTAAYGGCCGTTCCGTACGGGGCTCTGTTTGTACCAAAGACAACAACGCGACCGCACGATGCTCCTTACGTCAGTAATATCCAACCGTTCATAGTTATGGTTAATCAAATTCACCTTAAGTTCAAGGTGAATTTCATTAACCATATTAACTATGGACGGTTGAATGAAGTAGTAACTTAGTAGCAGCAGCATAGCCTGTAATGTAACACTAGATTACTCAGCTGCTGATATTTCATCTTATAATGGACCTATGACAATATCCATGTTCACCAATCATGGATCTCCTGAATGAGGTGCCATGAAAAGTTGAACCTACATATTTTTAAGCTTTCAAGTCAACTTAATTGCCATCAAATACTTTTTCCTATCGTATCTTTAAAAGTTTCTGAAGGAACTCTTTCTAGGGATACTAGAGTGACCAGAGATTGACATTGCATAGCACATTCCTTGGTTGATGAGGTCTATATAGTAATTTGATTTCAAACTAGCTCAAACAATCCAAATAGACGTACCAACCTTTGAAAAGTTGAACCTGCATATTTCCAAGACGTTTTTCTCAAAATTGATGTATATATATATTATGAAGAATGTTGGGTTTCCTGAGATCTCTAATATTATCTTTTCTTGAACATTCACAGCATTGTGAGCAGCAGATTCAAGAATTACATACAAAGGTAATGTAGAGTTATATTTCGTTTTGCTGTTATTGAGATCATAATAACAACACTGCATACTGTAGTTCCATTATTTATCTGTATTATTTACAACTTTGCTTTTTCTGACAAAAATATAATTTCAGTTACTTGAGATTCACCAAGATTTGGCTGTTTTAGTATCATCAGAAAGAAAAAAGGATGTGATGATAGAACAACTTGACAAGGTTCGTAGTACACATATAACAAGTACTGATTGATGCCAGGATATACAATACACACTACCATTTGCCGACCATTTGCCATGGTGTTTATAAATTGTTTGAATAATGGCTACTGACAGTGTTTACACATTAGAGGAAAGATACACACTTCTGGGATTATGATGATGACTCAAAACCCAAGAGGAACACTTGGCTACACCTTGTGTTCCTAGTAAGCAGTTGCATCTCTTGAGCAGTGCAAAGAGACATGCAGTAAAAAATTATTATATTAAGTAGCTATYTTATATTATTTGAGTCAAGACCAAAAGTATTTATGGGAAGCATGGGTGGTTTCGCAGTGAGAGCCATCATGTGACCTGGCTTCAATGCCATGTGATCAAAGTTTTGCTTGTTGGTTCTCTTCTGTCCTTGAAGGGTTTTTCTGTAGGTTCTCCAGTTTTGCAGAAGAAGAGCCACTCTTTGGAACTACTGGGCCCAGTTGTTCAAAGCCTGATTAGTGCTAATCCTGGGTTAACTCTTAATAAGACCTATAGAGTTAATCCTGGATTAGCGCTAATCCAGCTTTGAACAACCCAGCCCAGTTAACTCCCATTAAGTATTAAATTGTTCATTCATAGAACAACTGTATTTTTTTAATGACAGACACTAGCTAAAGTAGTTGAGGGATGGAAAAGACATGAGCAAGAAAATTTGCTCATGGCCAGCACATTAAAACCAGAGAGAGAGGTGCAGGAACAGTCTCACAAGAAGCAGCAAGAGGTATGATTTACCTGAGAAAATAACACATATTTCAATCTCGAGTCTAAACAAACCAATAAGGAAAGCACATTGATTAATACGTTGTTGCTGACGTTTTGCTTGCAGCACACCACAGGGAAAAAGTAATTGCTAACTTAGATTTCAATTCCAAAAGTTTTGAAACTTTGCCATATGATATAAAGGGCCACAGTTGTATTTTGTTTTTGTTGTGGTTTTGAGAATTTTAAAGGGGAAACGATGTCACAAATTTGGAAACAAATTTTCAATTTCACATAGTGATAAATGTGAATTGTGAAYAGTTTTGCTAGTTTCTAAAAAAAAAAAAAAAATTTCTTTCAAATGTTATACAAAATTGCTTTTAATAGATTCTGCTTCAGTTTGAGAAAGAGTTGGCACAAAGGGCCACTGAGGCAGAGAAAGAAAAACAATTAGTGGTGAGTTAAGTGCACTTGACATATCCTTCCATGGTTTTCCAGCCACCCACACACCCACCTACCTATACAACCTTGAATTCAATCCACCAAACCACCTATCTATCCATTCATTCATTCATTCAATCCACCCACCCTACTATCCATTCATTCAATCCATCCATCCATCCACCCACCTATCCATTCATTTATTCCATCTGTCCAACCAACTGTCCTGTCCAATCCATTCAATTTATCCACTCACCCATCCATTCATTCAGACAATCCACCAACCACCCACCAATCCATTCGTCCACTTGCCTACAGCTGTATCCATTCACTCAATTAAGGACGTTCATGGCAARAGATCCCATTGTCAGTTTTTTTWAAACTTTGCTTAATGAAAGTACATCATRCTAAAAGTAAAATAAGTAAGTAAAAAGAGGGGGTCCCAACTTCGTTTAGCCATCAGAATACATGGAAGTTCACCCTTTTTTACAGTGAAAACCTTTTCGTCTATCCATTCATTCCATCCATCCATCCARCATGATCCATCCATCCATCCAGCATGACCCATCCATCCAGCATGACCCATCCATCCAGCATGACCCATCCATCCAGCATGACCCATCCATCCAGCATGACCCATC